AAAGTGGAGAACACGAAATTTGGTCCTGAGGACAAATTAATGTTTTACGACCCTAGTGAAAAAGTAAGGTTTGAGTCCTACAAGTCAAAATCTATGGCTTATGGATGCTCTGTAAGTCTCTCTCTCATGAAAAATCTACACTGTGATGTGACTACTATATTTGATTTTCAGCATCTTTCTTCTCTGTTTGATACCATTGGAAACTCTGTTTATGAGGAACTAGTAGAGATGTTTTATGCAAACCTTTTTGTGAATGACAAAGATGATTTGGAATCTATGGTGTTAGGCACTAGAATTGTTTTGGATTCTTATCAATTTGAAAAGATTTTCTCTGCTAAGTTTAGTGGGTTTGATGTGTTTGTGCAAAATTTGTAGCCAAAAGATTTTGAAGTCTCCTTTGAAGAAGCAAAAATCTTTTTGTCTGATAATCCTCCTGATATTGATCCCAAGAACCTTAAGTTTGAACATCGTGTCTTGGCCCACATGATTGCTACTACTCTTCTCCCCAAAACTGGGTTCCTTAGCTCTTTGTCCACTAGAGATGTTTTTGTACTTTATTGTCTTGTTAATAATAAAAGACTAGATTGGTTTGTGTGGATTCACCAATACATGCTTGAAAGTATCAGGGACATATCTTCGTCTGCTGCCTGTTTACCATATGGTCTTCTTATCTTACATATTCTCGAAGTCATGAAGTTAGATTTGGCACCCTTTACACCCAAGCACATTACCAACACTTATGATAAGACAACTTTTTCAATGATGGGGTACACCTTGGGTGATGATGGATGGGTTAAGCATGCAAAAGTTGAAAGCATTCCAGTGCCAGTTGAAGTTCAAACTGAACAACCAGCATCTCAGTCGACTGCCTCTCAAAATCTTTAAGAAACTCAGCATTATCTAGATAGGGTGAAATTGCTACTGGTTGAGATGAAGGAATAGGTAGACAAAATCAGGGAAGTTACTAAGGAGACAGGTACAGATGTGGCTAAGCTCAGAATAGATATAGGAGCCACACGGAGGCAAGTAACCGGGTCATTCAATTCCATGAGTGAAAAGATGGATAAGCTTGTCAAAGATGTTAAAAACTCCTATGACTCCTTCTGCACCAAAGTGATAAACACTCTCAAGTACTTCCTAGGAAGAAGTTAATGTGATTATGTGTGACGGCGTTACAAACAATATTTTTTTATGCTCTTGCTTGCTTGGTGGTGGTTTTAAACAAACTTTCTGTTGCTTGGGTATGTACAACTTATGCCTCTGCTGAAGGCACTACTTTTGTTTCACTACCTCACTAGTTATTATGTATATTACAAAGTTTCAATGATGACAATATTCACTTACCTTAGTTTACAGGAATCGAAATCATCAAAAGGAAAGAATACAAATGAGAAGTTATCCAAAGATGTGATTGCTGAATTAATGGATAAGAAGAAAGAATCAGATTTTAGCACATCTATTCGGCCTCAATCAAAGGAAATCAGATTACAAATCAAGGAGTTATTGCCAGCAAATATTCAGTATGCTTAATTAAGCTCAATCGTAGGCTTGAATGTCACCTCAATGTAAGCCTGTGACAAGAAAAGTCACGATCGAATCTGGTCCCTCCCAAGAGCAGGATTCGAAGAGGCACCCCTTGGGTCAAATCCCTTTGAAGATCTCGTACCTCTATTTTCGGTCAAGGCTCAACGGCTCTCTTCTCTCCTATAAGAAGTCTGCTAAGATCAAATGGAAGACTTGCGCAACTATACACATTGTTTTCTAAGTCTCTCTACTTCTTAGCCAAAATACTATAATCCCTAGTTTATCAGTGTCTCAAAAGATAGAAAGAATTAGAACACAGAAGAGAATTGTGTCATTATTCAAAATTTATTGTTGCTATACTTCATTGGTGGTGAACGAATCAAAATCATTTGTATTGTAATACTTTCAAGATCTAAAGGGAACCCTTGTGGCCCAAGGAAAATTGGATATAAGTACCACACCGGTACCGAACCAGTATAAAATCGTTGTGTGTTATTCTCTCTACATTTGCTGTTATCTTACATTATGCTCTTAATCTAGTCAACTAAAATCATCGTTAGTTGACTATTTTTTTAATAGACCACAACTTACCCCCCCCCCCTGTACCTTCACATTATGGATGAGAGACCTACCCTGAACAAAGGTATTATGACTCTCATTAACAATCAGCGACATTACCGTTTTTAACATAGCACAAATCACTTTGTATATACACTTATACAGCACATTGCAACATGATATAGGTCTGAGCTCGCTGGCATTCAGTTGTACTGCTATCTTTGGGATCAAAGTAATCATTATAGAGTTTAGTTACTGCAGAAGTTTTTCATTAGCAAAGAATTCTAAAACAGCTTCTGAGATATCCTTTCCTACAATGTTTCATGTCTTCTTATAAAAACCACGTCCATACCTATCAGGCCCTGGGCTTTTATTTGCATCAATACTGAGCATGGAATTCTTTACTTCCTTTGCAGTATATAGATTCATTAATTGTAATTGATCTCCTATAGTTAGTACATATTCATTCTTGAGGATACTGTTGAAGGCTTTAGTTCTATTATTCTCCTTCCTTCCTAAACCAGTACATTATCAATGCCATCTTGGTTTGTCTGCATGTTGCCCTGATTATCCTTCAATTGAATGATATCTTGTTGTAATTGTTTGTATTTGATCATTAAAAAAAAGCATTTGGTACATTCATCCCCAGTTTGATCTACGCGGCCTTACCCTTTTGTTGCAAAAATACTTCTACTAGGTAAGATGTCCTCCTAAATTTTAAGTATTGATTCCTTTCTTCATGTTGTAGGGTTGTATCACCAGGTCTTGTGTGTAGGGCATGTTGCAATCGAATTAAAGCATCTCACTCTTCTACTTCAGATAGAATATTTCTAAAATATTATCCATTGAGTGCTCTTAAATTCCTTTTTAAACTTTTCAGCTTCTTTATTACTCTCCACATACTACATTCATTTAGTTGTTGCTCCCAGATTTCCTGTACTTTATCCAAAAACAACGGGTGGCTTGTCCATACATTACAAAATTTGAATGGTCTTTTGTCTCTTATAGAAATGCTCATAAGGCTTAGTTTCATATGACAATGATCACTAATCCCTTATGGTAGGAAGTTTGCAATGAATGTAGGCATCTTACTTAACCATTCATTATTGACAAAGACCCAATTACTTTTTAAAAAGACCCTACTATCCTTCTGTTTATCATTCCAAGTATAACGATTGCCCTTATGAGGTAATTCCAGCAGGTTGCAAGTGTCCACACATGAGTGAAAGTCAACCTTTCTCAGCCATACTCACTTTGTTACCCCCAATTATATCCACCAAGTTCAGCACAAAGTTGAATATCCTATGAGCACCCATGGTAGATTATTACCCTCATTCACTGCCTTCAAATAACTCCAAAAGCTTCTCATTTCTTCTCTTGTGTTGAATCCATACACTAAAGTTAGTAAACAAGTCATTTATAGTGATATAGCTTCCACTTTATAAGTTATTACCTGAGTAGTCCCACTCAGTGGTGTGACTGTATAGTAGTCAGGCCTCCAAATCACTCATACTTTACCATTTGGATGGTGGTCCAAGTTTGTCACATACCCCCGCTCTTCAAACATTGTATTTGCCATCTTCCATATCTTATTAGCCTTAATTTTTGTTTCCAAGAACCTCATAAGTCCTGTATTTTCACTACCACATAGGAGTTTGACCTCCCTTTATTTGTTAGAGGCATCTAGGCCCCTAACGTTCCAACACAAAATATTATCCATGCTTAGGGGACTGCGGAGCAGTACCTCCCCCATTCCTAGGTGGACTCCTAGGTATCCGAGCTTCTGATTCTACCCTGGTCAATACTTGAAAGGTATTTTTTATTTCACCCCCTTGTTTCTGCACTCTATTACTCTTAGTTGTATTCAAAGATGTGATCTATCTAGCAGTCGCCCTTTCACTTGGTTGTTGTTTCTCCTTTCCTCTAGTTTTGTCTGTATTTACATCTACTATACTGCTTTGTGTCTTTCCCCTTTCCCCCCATTTGTGTGCTCCCCTATGTTAATGTGGCTCTAGATGGTGATGTTGGATCTTTTGGTTGCCCGTTACTTGTTTATGTTATATTCCCCTCCTTTTCTTTTTTCCCATTTATTTTAGGTGGAGATCCATTTTTCTTCCTACATTGTGCCTCTGAGTGTCCATACGTATGCACATAGTACACCTTAAATTTTTCAAAAGTATTTTTTTGACAAAAGAAAGTACTTTTTGGCCAAAAAAAAACTTAGTCAAACAGGCTCTAAATGTATTTCTTTCAAAAATACTTTTCAAAAAAGTATTTTTAATAAAAACTAATTTTTTCTGCTTATAAAAAAAGTGCTTCTATTTCTATTTAAAAGTACTTTTTTCCTTCTAAAAATTTAGCCAAACACTTAATTTTGAAGGAAAAAAATACTTTAGCCAAACAACACTTTAAGCTAAAAATAACAAAAAAAAAAAAAAG